ATAAAGGACAGTTACTCTGTGCAGAAATAGAGAACGTGTTGATGGAAGTCATTGGTGATGAAGACAGTGAAGGACGCATGGACAAGTGGATACTCTACTTTAAACGTGGCCTTAAAGCATTATTTGTCAGAAGGAGCACATTCTCTGTGAAATTGCTGTTAAAATTATCACACAAATCCAATTATGAGGTAAGGCAGGGAAGACGGGTGGTACAAAGGGTTTTTTTCTTTCTAAATTGGTGGCAGAAACTCCCTCAAATCCAAAAAGGAATCTGTGAAATATCATCTGTTTTTTATTTTTTTTCTCCTATGGAAGGAACAGTACTGAATGTTTATTGCCACCAGGCCTCATCTTCCATCTCCCCTCCATTAATCTCTCCATATATCCATCTCTGAGGGAGAAATGCCATCCATACACATCAAGAGTGTTAATCAGGCCATTTTTCTTCTTTGCTGTATGTGAGGATCTTTGCTTTCACCAAGCACATAATTCAGTCTGTAATCTCCCTTTTCTTTCCCTCCGAGCATTAATGCTTGCCACAGTCCTTGCCATTTCCATACTGTAGCTTTATCCGGATTGTATATCTGGGCTGGCATGGATATGAAAAATGTGCACTCCATATTCCTCAGGCATATAACAGAGGAAGAGACTGTAGGCTGACTTCATTCGGAAAGTATGTGGACTTCATTGGGAATAAATTTTAGGAACTATTTGGCTCATCCACAATAGTGGATATTAATTATGAGAAGGGGAAGAATTATTTTGGTTAATTTGGAATACTTTAACCTGTTTTTGGTGATGAATTATGAAGCGGGGTAAAGGAAAGTAACGTTATGGTTATGACAGATTGCTTGGAAATATTCCGATTAATTGGTTAGCTGGAGAGTTATTGAGTCGTTATAAAAGTGAGAGAGAAGGGGGTGGGGTGTACAAAGTGGAGCGTGGAGACTCCAGCAGAGGGAAGACGGGAGAGAAGAAGGGAGAGGGAGAAGGGCTGGATGAAATGACGCTGACTAGGAAAGTGAAAGGAATGAACTGTGGCCGTGAAGTTGAACTCAGGGTCAGGAGTTCCTCTCAGCCCTGGATAACCTCTTATCCTCTGCTGCCCTACTACACTCTTCAAAATAAAGGCGGTAAAAAGGGTTCTTTGGAGGAACGCAATATAAGAACCTCTTTTGGTTCCACAAAGGCCAGAGCACACCAACCTAGTAAACAGCAACATTCTGATGCTGGCAGAATGTTTAGAAAAAGTAACTGAAATGTTCTCCCTATTCACATTTCAGAGCACTTGGAGTGGGGGAGAACATTTCAGAATAGTGTCAATGGAGGAGAACTTTGTTGAACATTGTGAATAGTAAGAACATTCCAGGATAGAAAATCGGGGAGAACATTTCAGATCAACTGATTGGGAAGAACGCTACAGAATAGTGTGAATGGAGAATGGAGAACATTCTAAACTGCGAACAAAGAACATTCAAGAACAGTGTGGAGAAAATGTCTGGACAGTGTGAATGGTGAGAACATTCTAGGAGAGTGTGAATGTGAACAAGCAATCTAGAACAGTGTGAATGTAGAACATTTTAGAAGCGTGTGAATGGGAGAGAACATTCTAGAACAGTGTGATTTGAAAACAACATTCTTGAACATTGTGACTATGAGATCATTCTAGAACAGTGTGAATAGAAAGAGAATGTTCTAGGACAGTGTGAATAAGGAGAACAATCTAGAACAGTATGAATGGAGAAAATATGCTAGAGTCTCCCAACAATCCCCACAAAGGTATGGCATTTGGTTTTGTTGGTGTTTGTTGGGTAAGTGTGCTCTGGCTTTAAAGAACCTTTCGAAGGATGGTTCTTTAAAGATTTTTGGTAATGAGGTGTTCTAGTGGGGAGAACATTTTAAAAGTTTAAACAAACTTCACATCATGTTACTGTTATGTGGCCGTTTGTGTTTTTCCTAGAATGTACAGCCAAGCCAAGAACCATTTGAAGAGTGTACATTATACCTCTTCTGTCTGCCTCTCTCGCTTTCTTAGCTTCTTTGTCTCACTCTCTCTCTTTAGCACTGTGAACCTCTCTCCTACAGCTTTTCCAACTATTTAGTGTGCAGAGGTACAGTTGGGGGGCTGAGTTGGAATTCCGCAACTATTTTAAGAATCTGTGAAAGCTGTTGGAGTTTAGCCTGTTTTTTTTCCATCACTCTCTCTTTCTCTCTCTCTTTCTCTCTCTCTCACTCTCTCTCTCTCTCTCTCTCTCTCTCTCTGTATGTTCGCTGTCAGCTGAGTAAAGGATCAGATTTCTCCTCTGATAAATGGTGTTGTGCTCCAGGACTCATTGGCATCGGATGATTTGAGGTTATGGATTGGGGCTTTTTGTTCTAGCTTGCGCTCCAAACTATTTCAATTACTGTGCCAGGGGAGCCGCTCTGTTTTTATCCGCTGTGCAGAACACAGTCCGTTCATGTGGGAAAGCCAAGCCCTGCGAAACATTCGCTGGCCGCTTACCACATATCCATTTAAGATCATCAGTTGTCTGGTAGATGTTTCAATATAGATGCAAAAGTCTTTTTCTGGCATAAAATAGTTAAATTTATGTATTTGCCTTAAGCTCATAAGGCATAGGCGAAATACAGACTGCCCGCATGACATCAGAGCAGAGTTGTAAAAATGCACGAAGGTGGCATCTTTTTGGCCAAAATAAAAGTATTAGGATATTATAATTTGCATACATTTGTGTATCTACCATAATTAAGAAAAAAATGAATAAACAACAACAAAAAAGAATAAAAATAAAGATTCCTTGGGTTCTGTGGAGGGATGCCATTAAAGAACCACTTTGAATAATTTTGGCCTAAGATTAGCATTTAAAATGTTATTTTTCACGTTTCACAATGTAGTGTTCCTTAACATAGCATTGCATCCCTCAGCCTGATCAGTTGGACAGGATTCACAATTTTGTATGCTTTCTATGCTTTCCTCCATCAGTGTTCTCTCCTTACAGTGTCCAGCATGCATTGCATAAATATGTACATTCATTTTGAACTGGTTATTCCCACCTGTGGCGTCGTTGTCAAAGACAAGAAGGCATGTTTGCACCAGTTGCAGCAACATTTTTCATTGTAACCATTTAGTAGCCCTTTCAATCTTTCAGTATTGTTTGTTAGAGAACTATTTTTGTTAATAAGGTGTATGTGTGTGAAAAACCTTTTTATACTCATTTTAAACAACTTAAAGATTTTTCCTAGAACCATACTTCCAAACCAAGAACCGTTTAGGACCTTTATCTTTAAGCAGAATGATTTAGTTGAATTAAGCCATCAAGAAGTTAGGGATTTGCACCTTTACTACTAATTGGTTGTGGAAAATCCTTCTTATTTCACCTTTTGCCTACTGTCAGTATCTCCATCCAAACTGCAACAGCATCACCACGGCAGCCAGTAGTCATCGGAAATGCTCCTCATGTTAATTTAATTAATCAGCAGGAGGAAAGCATCTTGTTAAAGTGAAGTGCCATTGAACCGTCACTTTCCTCATTGCTAATAAACCCTCGAAGGCCGCATTAGACGTTACTTATGTAATCACATGGCCCAGGCAACAATGGCTGCCGTCGCTGTAGGTCCGTCCCTCGGGCTGGACTCTAAAGGCCCTAATCAAGAGCTCTTAAAGAACAGATTTTTATGACGTTCCTGATGTATTGAATTGCAGTCTTGATCTTTGACCTTGAGTTTGATTGCCTTGGAAACGAGATGGGGAAGCTGGAAAAGAAGGATTCTGTTCTTAGTGTGGCCTCTAGTGAAAGTCTTGTAAATGAGGGCTTTAAAGGGGGCCAAGCATCCTAAAGTCTCATAAAGGGAGCCTCCAGATCTTTCTCATTGTGTGTGTATATGAGTGTTGGGGGTGGGTTGGGTCTCTGGTTGTAGAACAGACTGCAGTAAGAGATGTCATGAGGTGATTGAGTGTTCATATTTAGGGAGAAGATAAAGCAGGGATGCTTGTTATTTTATTAGCTTACAAATAATGCATTGCATGGTTGTGCTTTCCATGTAAATCAGAGATGTTTAACATTTGCAAGGCCACACACATAGAAATGGAGAGCCTTTTTCAGATTCTTTCTCTGTCCGTATGAGTTCAGTTCTACTCTTGGCCCCATCTATGTCTGGAGGGTTTTGTCACTGGCCAAGATCCACCTACTTTGAAAAGAAGGGGCAGTTTAACTCACATACATGACCAGTCACAAACTGCTGTTTGTAAATGCTGTGTACACCCTTAAATAAAACATTCTCCCGATTCTTGGCTTAAATATATGGTTCTAGGAAAAAAAAACTTTAACCCTTTACTCATATTGAACCTTTACATTATGTGGAGGTTCTTTAAACTTTATAACTGTTCTTCACACTCACACATCTCATAAATCTTTAACGTCATGATGACTTATTTTGATTCATTTAGTTTGCTATGATGATCACTGTTAAAAATAAAGGTTCCTAAATGGTTCTTGGCTTGGATGTACAGTTTTAGCAAAAGCCTTTATTTGATGTAAAGCCTTTACATTATGTACTTCTTTATCCCTTAGAATTATGAGGATGTTTAGGATGTTTTTGCTGCTGTGCTTTTAAGACTGATATGTTTAATGAGCTCTGCTTCGATTGGCTGCCCTATATTGTGCCTCATTCAATAACTTTCCAAACAAAGGGACTATATCTTCCTCAAGAAGGGTCACACTTGTCACAGGGAGCAGAGGAGACAGCTGCTTTGCAAAAGTTAGTTTCCCATCTGACAGTACAGAAGTACGACACTGAGGATAGTAACTGACAAAAGTCTGATGGTTGTGGCCATCTTATCGTAAACTATATATCGGACTGTCCGTGTACCTGTGTGTCCAGAGCACCTGAGGCTGAGACTAATATTATGGCACCCCATGCTGCGCATTCCAAATGTTCATGATAGACTTTGTGTGGAAGTGTGTGACTCTCACCCGCTTCCTCTTGTGTCACACACCCAGGGCTCCTGAAATCCCCGTGCTCCGCAGCGCCGCCCTGTCTGCGGGGCAGCTCCCCCACTGGCTGCTCCTGCTTCACGGGCGTGTGCCCACTGCACCAGCGCAGGATATCCACAGGTACAACACACAGACACACACTCTAAAACACACACACGTCTATGTGCACCAGCAGACTTAAGTGAGAAGTGAAAGAGAGCTGAACATCTGCAAGGTACGCTGCATAGAGGAGTTTGATACAATAGACAACTGCATCAACTGCATGGATTTCAGATTGTCAAATGATAATGAGTAATTGATTATGACTTCAGCAATAATATTCAATGTTATTTAGTTTTACATTCAGTATAATATAATATTCAGTAATATTCAGTATTATGTGATGTATTGTTTAGGGATATGTACAGGTGCTCGCATACTCAGTTAATTGTTTGAGAGGCTAATGTTCGAATACTGAGATCACTGTTCTGGTGCTCATTCTGTTTTATCACAGGAACACTGAGAAAACATAGAGGCTAGCAATTCAATGAAATGCTGCTTTTATGTTTTAAGAGGGCTGTTAACTGTTACGATTGCGCTTGTATTTGTGAGCCAGTATGGATATTATGCTGTGCCACTGCGAAACAGTAAGTCCCTAAACATGAGGGTTGTTAAGGATGTGACTGAGATGGGAAAATGTAGTGCAGGTTTAGTGCTAACTAGGCTAACTACTCTAGCTGCCATTGGCTAGGTCCATAAATAGTGGAAAACTAACAAACTAACATGCTGGCACATCGTCCACTAAGGGGCAAATACCTTGTGTTAGACAAAAAGTTCTCATCAAGTATCATCCAGTTTTGTACCAGCTGTACTCTTAGCTCAAATCTGAAGAGGCAGCCTTCATCTATCTGTTCACCCAACACAAAAACTACTGGTTCCCTCTGCTTTTTCGAACAATAAAACATATTTTCAAATGTATTTGAAAATGCTTGCTGCTTATTTTTTATGTTACTTCTTTTTTGAGCCTCTTAACATCAACTGTTGCCCAACTGCAGTTAACAGGGTATCTGTTCACTACCTCTTGGGGATACTCAAATATCAGAATTAGTCGGAATGCACATCCCTAGTTCTGAAGTTTATGGAGTGTTAGAATTTATTATGATCAGTTAGACTATTCAGACAAATGATTTGGAAATATTGATATTTGATACCACTACTAAAACAGCAGAAGCAGAAAAATCATTGCGAGCACAATGTTAACATCAGTAGCCGCTCTTTTTAACTGATAAAGAATTCACAAATGGAAATTGTAACCTAAAAGTAGTGGGATGTATTGCCATGGGTGACCACCCATTCTCTGTTGTTGAGGGCATGACGTACTGTAAAAACTTTAGTACGTTTTTTTAAGTAAACAGTTTATTTATTGTGAGCACTATTTAAATAGTTCTTCAGTCACATGTGTATTCAGTGTATTTTTAAAAATAAGTCTGTATCTTACCAAAATAATTGAATCGAATCACAGAAAACATCTCTTAAATCATGAGCTTCCCTTATGTGTTGAATAATTTCCTAAGGAAATCAAATCATTGTGAAGTGAGATTTCCACCTCAACAGGTTTGGTGTAAATGCCTGCACAATAAGTAGACTAGCTCTTTTAGGACTTTACAGCATACATCTGCTTTAAAGTATAAAGCCTACTGTACCAGCTGCTTTTTTTTTGGTTGTTTAATTTTTTTTAGTACCCACCTGAACTTTTTAAAAAGAAGCCTTCACCGGTAATCAGGCATGTCAAAAACAGTTATGATTTATACCTCCCTCTTTCCTCAAAACGACTCCTTGCATGTTATAACAATTACCGTGCCTGTCCTCATAAATCACTGACAGAGACGACCCCCCGTTGCAGGGCAGCGCAAGGGAAGTGTGCGTTTGCAGTATAAGATAGCGTGTCATGTCAGATCTTTGTAGGTATGGGAACACAAAGAACAGTTTCACTGTGTTGAATACTTTCCATTACAAACATGTTGCAACAAAGCCCAGGATCTCGCTGCCTCTTCTTTAATGGAAGTCTTCTATTGATGTTATTTCTGGTTGCTTGAGTGGGAAGACAGTTTGCTGTAACACTGTCCTCCATAGATTTAGTTATTGTGAGAACAGATTTTATCTTAAAGAGCCCACATTCTGCAGGCAGTATGCAAAAGTTTGTATACTCCCAGTCATATTACACGTTCTGTAAATTTCTTAGTGTAAATGACAGAGTTTCTATTTGTTTAATTAGTTTAACATGTTGGAAAAAATATGAAATGTGCCATAACCTTTGCACAAGCCACATTTTATGTTTTATTTTCCATATGTTAAGTTCATCAAATGAACAATAATTGTGCAATAAAATCAACACAACATTTGACCAGGGACGCCCACACTTTTGCGAACGTCTGGGGATTATGACATTTGATGTTATGCACTAAAAACATGACCGTCTTAGAGTTTTTGGAAGTTTTTGTTGCTTTGCCTTCAAGGATGACATAAATAAATGACCTCTGTTCTGATTGGCTGTCCTGTATTGTGCCGTGTTTCTGAGCAGTCGTGGCTGAAACACTCTTTATAACATAAATGGGCGTGGCTAAACTGCTGTAGGCTGAATAGGCAGTTATATATACACTGGGAGATTCACTCGAAAGAGGCCCCGAATATTCTGTAATAACTCTCGCTAGAGTGAAGCAATCTGAACGAAACAAATGTGCAATGTGCTCCTCAGTATATGGAGCTTCGAACAAGCCAGGATGCCCCTGCGTTGGAGCAATGAGGTAGGCGCTGGACAGCCGTCGCAACGTTTAACCTCTGTTTGCAACTTCCGGGTGCATAACCCCGCACTCCTTCATGTGTCCAGCAGAAAACGGAGATCACTTCCAGCATGTAATGCAATCGATCGGTTCAGATTGCTTCATCCTAACGGGTGTTACAGCAGAATATTCGGGGCCTCTTTCGAGTGAATCTCCCTATATAAATATGTTGGTTTTTGTGACAAGCAGTTTTTTAGATAAGTTTCCATATATAGATTCTCCATTGTTTATAAACTCAAAAATGATCAATTAGCTTTTCCGAGATATCAAACGTTAAAACTTGGTGTTTTGTGCTCTGCTTTTGCAAAGTAATTAGTAATTATTTATACGTGAAGTGCTTCCTCGGTCGTTTTTTTGCACATCGTAATCATTTAACAGTTGTTTTTGTGAGTTATATAAATCATGTGGTTTGCAAATGAGGAGCTGTGTGGTTTACAGCGAAATGACCATCGTCCCTCTCTTTGCAGCGTCTGTCATTTCTGGACTCGGTCTAATTCCCAATATGTTCCCATAAATCCAAGCGACCGCATTTGAAGTGTGAGAGAATGCCATATTATCTCCTTTTCTCTTTGGTTAGCGCCCACCACAATTACAGCCTTTTGTTGTGAGTTCAGAGAGAAGGAGAAGCAGAACAAAGCAGGGGATGCTGGGAAAAGTGGGCGAACCTCCAGAGGGCAAACATAGCTCAACTTGTCTGAACTCCTGTTCCTTCTCTGATGTGGCCAGGGCCCTAATTCAGCCGTGTTATATTACTAGCTTGATATAGAAAATAGATTTGCTGGAAAGCACTGAGAAAACTCCAGCGTTCAGTTCGCTGCGGATTAAGGCCAGCTATGTGCGCGAGGCTCTTATGCTTTGTTTGTGTATTCATGCATCCTGTCATGAAGCTGATTAAGCAGTTAGCTTGAAATGTGTAGCATGAATGCAAAGAAAAGCTAGCGAAGAGGCTATACAAAGCAGTTCTTGTGCTGTAGTCCTGTAGTTTCTTTGAGAGAGAGAGAGAGTTGTGGAATGGAAAAGATTATCCACTGGAATGTCTGGGCTGACCTCAAATAGAGCGGACAGCCCAGGCAGCCAATAGGATCGTGTTGCTTAGCGTTGAGCTAATTTTTTCCTGATGATTGCAGTCGCCGTCTCTATAAAACAGTCTGAAGGGCTGTGCAAGGCTGAACCTAGCCCAGCAGAGCTCACATATGGTATGTGTTGGTGGAATTCAAGTGACAGATGCCTTAGAGGTAAAACACTTCTTTTGCCCGAATCGCGGCATAATTTGTTGGCATTTCCTTTCATGCTTGCGTAGAATATTCAGTGCCGTTTGTGCTAGCATCTGACGCTAATCCATATTAGTCTTTGATCTGTCTATTTTAAGCCCTTTTAACCATGGTAACCAAAAACAAAATATTGAAGGATAGGTCCAAAATTGAGAAATGACTCGAATTACAGTTTGGCAAGTTTCATTAAGTAGCAAAGAAGCCCATTATTCTGAGGGCCTCATTATAGGTCTATGAAGAGAGGAGTTGAAGGGAAGCTATCGATCACTGCATGTTATCCTCAGTAGTCAGTTCCCCAAGCCTCTCTGAGCTGTTTGAGTCACTTGCAGGCTCAGCCACAGTGAAACATTCTGTCAGTTGTGTGTCCTCACTGCAGTGGCACCATTACCTGTTGGCTAACATCCCCCTTGACAAATGTCAGTAAGAGAATTGAAGCTGGAACAAACGCAGCCACTCTAAAATACTTATATGTAGGGATGGAACAATATATTGTGACACAATGCATCTCAATGCAAAAATGTGACAATGCAGCAGAAGCATGACTGCTGAGGAGGAGAGTGAGCAGTTGCATGCTACAGGGGAAACCCGGAGCAACTGGGCCCACTAAAATCTTTATTGGACCCCTAATGTAGATACTGACACATTGTTCTCCCATGACTCACAGAAAGATCCAATTTCTTAACTACTTATCTCACCAGTTAGTCTCCACAAACACTACACAGACAGCCCTGACATATTTGTTTCCCTCTTATTCTTAATGCATCCATGGTAACTGATTTTAAACAGGCCCTTCACAACTTGCATGCTATATTCATTCTTTATCATAAAATCTTAAATAAATAGTCTAAAATAAACATGTAAGTTAATGTTAGATGCCAATGGGTGGAGCAGCAATCCTTGAGAACATCTGCTTTTTGAAACATCACAATGGTGTGTAAACAAACAAATTGTGTTACATAATTTATTGTATGTGTGTGGTGGACATTCTGTTTATTATGCCATCTAAATGCATTGTTTGAGCACCAAAGGT